AACAGTTTGCAAAGGATAGGTGCTCCTATTTTGAATGTTTGGTAAAATTCATCTATGAAGCCATTGGATCCAGGAATTTTGTTTTTGGGGGAATTTTTTATTACAGATTTTATTTTATTGATAATAATCAGTATGTTCAGACTTTCTGTTTCTTTCTGACTCCATCAAAAGATGATTGTGTGTTTCTAGGAATGTACCCATTTCTTCCAATTTGTTAGCATATTGTTTGTAGCATTTTCTTATAATTCTTTGTATTTCTATTTTGTCAGTTGTCACTTCTCTTTAATTTCTGATTTTATTTATTTGGGTTATCTTTCCTTTTTATTGATGAGCCTAGTTAAAGTTTTATCAATTTTGTTTATTTTTTCAAAGAACCAGTTCTTGGTTTCATTGATCTTTTGCATTTTTTTAGACTGTTTTTAAAAATTTCTGCTCTGTTCTTTATAATTTTTTCCTTCTCCTCATGTTGGACTTTGCTTGTTTTTCTTTTATTTATTTGAGACTTTTATTGTTTCTTAAGGTAGGCCTGTACTGCCATGAATTTCCCTCTTAGGATTGCTTTCACTGTGTCCCATGTATATTTTGGTTGTTATTTTCATTTTCATTTGCCTCAAGGTATATTTTGATTTCTTCCTTGACCTCACTGTTAACCCAGTCTTTGTTTAGTAACATATAACTTAGCCTTCATGCGTTTGTGTTTTTTAGTTTTCTTCTTGAAATTGATTTCTAGTTTCATACCATCATGGTTGAAGAATATGCTTGACACAATTTCAGCCTTTTAAAATTTATTGAGACCTGGTTTTTGGCCTAAGATGTTCATCCTGGAAAATATTCCATGTGCACTTGAAAATGATGTATATTTTGCTGGGTTGGGTGATATGGCCCACAGGAGATATGGCCCCTGTGGGCCATGTGGGAGGAGGGTTTAACACACAGGGACAATGACAGCAGTCCCTCTACCCTTTACAGGTCTAAAGGGGGTGTAGATTTGGAATGCCTCATATAGTCTCTCATAGAAAACTGCTGGACTTTCATCAGGCTTCTGAAAAATCTCAGAGATTTTAGCCATTGGGCATTTAGCTCTGGCCCTGACCCCATGGAGGAAGGCCAGCCAATATCTTTCTAGCCCGGTCCTTCCGTCTGCTGTGTTCGGGTTCCAATTGGGAAGGCCTCCCTGGCGCATCTGTCTGTATGTAATATTCCTGCTGGGACCCGGTTTGGAGCCACTTCGAACCTCTGTTACTACTCTCCTGTGCTCCTCAGTGTTAAAGAACGTGAAAAGGAGCTGCTCTCACTCCGCCCAGGTGGGCTTCTGGGTCTGGAAGATCGTTTCTAGGAGGTCTTTCATGCCCTGAGGTTTTTCAGAATCAGCTGGGGTGTGATGTTTCCTATTCAAGATGTCACTGGGGGTAAAGGGCTGATAATAATAATAGACTGGTCTTCCCTCCTGCAATGTCCCATCTTTGCCAACTACTTTGGCACCGTGATTCTCCCTAAGAGGGATCTGACGTGCTGGTTGTGGCCTGGGCCCTTGATTGACTGAACGCAAGCGCTGCCCACCTGGCCCTGGAGACCTGGTTGAGGAGAAATGGAAGGGGCGTGTTTCTGGACCTTCCAGGCCAGCTGGGGAAGCACTTGGTGCTCCTGTGGCACATATGGAGGTGGTAAAACTAGCGGGACTTCCTCAGGGGATCCTGGCAGAACAAGGGGTTGGGTTCCCTTCTGAGAGAACTGCTTCTTTTTTCCTATTACTAAAGCCTTATAGAACCGGACCCAAGGCGGTAAGGTTTGAGTAACTGCTAACCAGCTGTCTGTGTAAGGGAACTGATCTGGGTGTCTGGGGTCTGCCGTGACTACATTCCAGACTGCCCTGACCAGTCCTACATCTAAAGAGCCTTCCAGGAGCCAGCCGACCCCAAAGGCTGGTCATTCTAATTCACAGAATTTCCTTAGTGTTTTTGGGTTCATTTAAATATCATCATTCTCAATTCAAAATTTTCAAAATTTTCCAACATGCAGTTGAGAACAGTGGGTTTACTTTATCCCAATCCCAGGATGATCAGTGGCGAGAGACAGACGAGGATGCGGGGAAATTTACTAAAAGCCTGGAGGGTCTCCTTAAAGAAAAGATCCTTAATCAGCACAGGCAGGGGCAGGGTAGGTAAAATCTCTCTGCTACTGAAAGTCCCAGTCCTCTACCAAAAGAGATATACCACTGAGGTACGACTCTGAGACAAAAGAGACAACAAAAGTCTCAAATACCTTTAAATCTACCCCAGAATTCCAAAATTTCAACCCAGCAAAATCACAGAGCAAACCAAAGCCCCTAGTACACAAACATAGACAGGAATTTTTATCAACTGTCCCTCTGTGATAGAGAGCAGCCATCTCTGAGAAAACTAACTCAACAGTGCTGCTTGAGACTTTTGCAGACCATCACAGGTTCAGCCTTCAGTAAATCTAATGTTTTAACCAGATGAGCAAACAGAAAATCAAAGTAGCTTTCACTTTCACACAGACCAGTTAATCAGCAGATAATTATACCAAGACAGACATCCATACTCACACACTCTCAGTAGACTAGCCCAGACTGGAGCGGAGCAGATAATGTCCAGCTCCCCAGATGGGCACGGGGCACTCTGGGCACCCGCGCCCAGAACAGAATTCTCCACCGACTGCTCTGTGAGAACCTCCCGGAGGAGTTAAGCTGCGTCCAGCCCCACTTCTCGGTTATAAATTGGCTAGCCCCACACAAACAAACAGAAGCGTGAACCCATATTCCTTAATCGACTCTGAATTCACTCACCTCCAGAGTCCTGATTCCTGATTTACCTGAGGAAGTCCTATGACTTCTGGGGAGGTGATCAAGCTCCCCTTTCACTCGTTTGGAGTGGGCCTGACTGACTGGGGCCCCTAACTTACAGATTCTGTCGACAGGTCCAGAGGTGTCCGTCCACTATTCCAGATGCCAGCTGGGTCCTGGGCTGAGGTCCGGTAGCACGTGGAGCCCCCCCTCTCTGCGTGCGCGCTCCTCCCCCCGACCCCCCACCGCCCGGTTTATTTCTGCTAAAATCAGCAGTGCACACCTTCCGGGGGCCTGTCCCGGGCCTCCGGACCCGGGCCCCAAACCCTGGCCACTCACCGGAGGCAAGAGCCAGACGCGGTCAGCTTCTCCGTCAGAGAACCAAATGCTGCTGCAGACCAGAGAAACACCCAGCACGCTTCCTGGAGAAAGGGAGGGACCCGTTTACTAACACAGTGGACTCCGGGAATAATTTCCAAAGCAGAGTGAAGAAACATGCAGGGGCCTTCACTTCTTATAACCTTCTGGGGTCTTTGTCTTGCAGATATGGTTCCGCCCCTTTCCTGGGCTTATAGGAAGGCCCCCAGGTGTTGGGGGTCCCCAGGCCATATCCGATGATCTGCCCTGGGGCCATCGATAACGACCCTCCACTCCGCCTCGCACCCCCCCCCCCCCAGGACAGTGCATTGTTCATGGTTTTTATGGCCTGACATACCTTGCAAGACCAGTTTCCTCCTCAGAATCTTTAACATGTTAATCATAGTTATCTTAACTTTTCTGTGTGATAATTCCAAAATTTGGGTCATGTCTGCGTCTGGTTCTCTTGATTACTTTCTTTTAAGTATATTTTTATTGATTTCAGAGAGGAAGGGAGAGGGAGAAAGAGATAGAAACGTCGATGGTGAGAGAGAATTATTGAACAGCTGCCCCCTGCATGCCCCCACTGGGGATTGAGCCCACAACCCAGGCCTGTGCCATTAACCAGAATCGAACCTGGGACCCTTTAGTCCACTGGCCAAGGCTCTATCCACTGAACCAATATTGATAGTTTGTTGTTTTTTCTTGCTTCTCTGTGTGTTTCATAATTTTTGGTAGAAAGTTGGACATCTTTCTTAAAGCTGTATGAATCAATAAATAGTGTTTTCCTGGAATTGGGCATGCCCTGTTTTTACAGCCCTTTAATGTGGGGGTGATTCTTCAGTCTAGTAACGGAGATTCTTCAGTGCATAACGGAGTTCAACATTTTCTAATTTACTGTGTTCAGGGTAGGATTGGGTGGCCAGAAGGTTTTACTCCATACTTCACCTGTACCTCAGCTTTAGGCTTGAGTCTGGACACGTATGTTGCTGTTACCTGACATGTGGTAATCGCTCATATGGTGCAGGGTGGGGGATGTGCTACGGCGGTTGGAGAGCATACTCTTCTGCCGTTCAGTCTTAGTCTGAGACAAGAACTGTGCCCCTGAGTCTCAGTGATGGCACCTTCTTAAGGACCCTGCGCCTCCCTAGTGGTAGAAGCCCTCTAACAATCAAGGCCCAGTACATTTTTCGCTCTATCTTCTCTTTTATTTCCTCACAACACTGGGTGCCCTTGGAGTGACAGGCTTTCTGCCTTGTCCCCAGTGGTTGAGGCTTTTGCTGATAGAGCAAATGGGGTGGAGCATCTGGATGAGGTTTGAGTTTTCCCATAATGCTGCCTCTTCCCTTCTCAGGCCTCCACCTAGAGAGGGAACCAACCTTTTTCTACTCTTGCACCTCCCCTCAGTCCTTTTTGTGAAACTCTGGTGAGATCTGGGCCCCCCTCGAGTACGCGGGGTTCTGTGTTTGCATGCTGGCCCCAATCAGGCAGTTCATTACATTTTTAATGACTTCTCTTCACCAGCTTGTATGAAGCCTGGCACCTGGCCCAGGAAGCAATGTTTGCACCCCATCTTTCTGAAGAGGCGCTGTCTTTCCTTATATTTCAGACCATTCGTTTGCCCAGTGACTTTAGTTCTCTGAGGGTTCTAGAAAGGTTAGTATTTGAAGTTTATTCAGCTTTCCTTTGTTTTACAATCAGAGGCAACAACACTCCAGCTTTCTACATCTTTGAGAATGTTTTTATTTACTGCCTTTTTAAGGCCCAAGATTTGAGTTTTGCTGCTTCATTTGGATTCTCAAATGAGCTAGCATTAAAAGCATGGCTAATGTCCTTGCAGAAACTTGGGGACTGTGGCAGCCGTGGAGCCGGTGTAGCGCCACGTGTGGGGATGGTGTCAGAGAGCGTCGCCGCCTGTGCCTCACTTCCTTCCCCTCCAGACCTGGCTGCCCTGGACCGTCCTCGGAGACCTCCCGGTGTTCCCTGGAGGAGTGTGCCGGTAGGTATTCTCTTCCTCTGGGAGTCCCTTCCAGGGAGCTTGTTGAGCCAGCGCCCACCTGAAAATGACCAGTCTGAGCTCGGGAGTGACTCATAAAATTCTCTATTTCTCTTGGCTGTCCTAACCCTGTATTCATTAGAGTGTCATTGACTGAGAATAGCTTGCCATGAGATTACAGGGGACTTAACACTTCAGATGATAGGGAAATGACAAGTAACTTTATCTAACTTAAAGATTCAGACATGAAACTATTTTTAAAAATATAAAAATGGGAGAGGTGATCATTTCCCCCCAGGATTTTTTTGTTTTTACTTTTGTTTTATTTCTCCCTCCTTCTTCTCACCAAAATTAAAATTTTATTTCCCCCATTATCCCAAGGAAGCTCCAAGGGACTACACAGACAAATGGGGAAGACTTATCCCCATTGGGGGGATAAGTCAAAATGGGGAAGACTTATCCCCTAGAGGGCCCTGTATTTATACTTACTAGAGGGCCCTGTATTTATACTCCTACCCAGGAGGAGAACGTGGGGAGTTCTTGCCATCACCGAGAGATTGGCCTTCTCTTCACCCTCTACACATCTTGAAGGCTCAATGAGAATTTGATGAAAACTGATTGTAGATGTGATAGTCACGTGGCTCCATTAGGTTTGCTTTAGTTTATGGAACGGAATCCCATTCATTTACCACAGGTTACAGCAATAAAGAGCCCTTGTTCTTCCTGTACGCAATTCCATCTTCTGATGTCTAACCAGTTGCCCACTTAGTTGGCCATCCTTTGCTCTGGTCCTCTTAGATAAAATCCTACTGTCAAGTTTTGACCTTTTCCACTTTCCAATTCCAGGTGTGAAAACCATCTCTACATCTTTGTCCTTTCTCATCTTGAGAAGTTTGATGTTTTTCCATGCTTGGATCTCAGGGTATCTTTTAGCCAAAACTACAGGCACCTGGCAACACCTCTGTCAGTGCCCAGGTCTGTGGTGGGTAGAAAGGTGGCAGGATTAAGTGTTCTCACTGCTTCTCATCCTACCCACGGATTCTCACATAGCAGCCCTGATACTGAGTCATTCAAGCATGAGTCAGCCAGTGCTGCCCCCTTGCTTCCATCAGGGTGACGTCCAGTGCTACGTCCTTCTTCCCTTTATTCCAGTATCCTAAAGTTGTTCTCGCCTGTGTATTTTTTATATTACAGCTTCAGACCCAGGCTCTTTCCTAGCCCCGAGCTTGCCCCTCTTTTTTCATAAGCCTCGGGCCACACCCTGAGTGTGTTCTTTCTCCAGTTCCCTCTCATACTGTTTTCTAAGGCTCTCTCTGTTTACTCTTTTCTTTATAAGTTTCCCCCCCCCCTTCCCATAGTTTTTTCCTTCCGTATAACTTTCTTCAAATACATCTGTTCCTTTGAATTCTGAAATGTCATGTTGATTAACATATTCCATTTAGAGTTCATAATTCTGAAATGAATTTAAAGTTAATTGCACCTTGATCTTATTGGAGTGGCCATTTACTGACCATCTGTTATGTGCCAGTACTTTAAATAATCATCTCTAGAACAAAATAGATCCAGAGACATAGAAGCAGGAAACAAACTATGTAATCTCAGAGGGAGGGGGGGTGGTGCAAGAGAAGAAATTAACCGGAGAATTTATATGCATAACCCATAGACACAAGAAAATAGCGTGTGTGGGGAAGGCCTGGGGAAGGGGGGTGTGGGCCAGGCAGTGTCAATGGGAAGAAAAGGGGACATCTGTAATAATTTCAGCAACAACAGTAACAACAAATACATCATCTCACTTAAAGCTCTCAACTCTACAAGGTAAGGATACTTAAATTGGGCTCAGATCTTGAGAGTGTGCTGCCTACCAAGCATTTTCCTAAGTGCCTTGCACACATGAAGTAAGTACATCATTATCTTCACATACAAATAAGGACTTTGTGGCATAGAGAGAAAAAATGACCTGCCCAAGGCCATCCAGCTGGAAATCAGGGATTAGATCTGACTCCATACTAAGCTACCTATCTTGAATATATATACTGGCCAATGTAGCTTTCTAGAAACATCAACAACCTGAAATTAGCAATCACTTTTTAAAAATATATATATATTTTATTGATTTTTTACAGAGAAGAAAGAGAAGGATAGAGAGTTAGAAATATCGATCAGCTGTCTCCTGCATATCCCCTAGTGGGGATGTGCCCGCAACTAAGGTACATGCCCTTGACCGGAATCAAACCTGGGACCCCTCAGTCCACAGGTTGATGCTCTAGCCACTGAGCCAAACCAGTTTCAGTAAATTAGCAATCATTTTTGAGGATATGTGGTGTTATTTCATGTCTGGCATCTTAACTCTTTAATGAGTGGGAATTAAAAATTCGAACATTATAAATTAGCAAAAAGGGTAAGTGCTACAGGCATCCCTACTTCTATAGGGGTCCTCAGATAAATGCTTATGTGGATAAATATGATCATTTCTTTCAAGTGTCCTCTATCTCTTAATCAACCTATCTTCTGCTCCTTGGAAATATAGAGATCTGTTTGCAGGCTACCTAGCATCAGGAAATCTACATTTCAGGTGAAAGAAGAAAGACTAGATGAGGCAGAGATGGACGAGGCTGGCAGCTTTCGGGCTTTGCTCCTGCTGTGGCTTTGAAGGGACCCAGCCGTGTCACAACTGACAGCTCAGTGAAGAGCCCTCACTTAGCTGCTCTCTCTGAGCTCAGCAGCCACTGCAGGTGAAAGAAGTGATAAGTCAGGAAACAAGTCTTTCATTATTCACCTACTTTCACTTGGTTGAGGATTGAGAGCTCTGTTTGGCTTTGAGAGGATGTTTTCATGCCAAGTTCTGAGTCTAGTTCTTTGTTAATTTGGTCCATCTTGCTCAACACAAGAGGAGGATGATTTAATTGCCATTGTACCCACATTCCACAGGTGGATATTGGTCATTTTGCTATTATCTTTTAAATAATGAATCGATTGATTAATTAATCTTTCATTTATTGAGTACCAGTTACATTCAAGTTACTGTGACTGGAAGTGATAATATATAGAGAAGACATGCCCCTGTCTGGAAGGGGCTTATGATAGGTTGCTCAGCAGATACTTAAACAGGCATAATATGTAGTACAATATGGGGCCTGCACTGACAAAGGTATCCACAGCATGCTGTGGAAGCTCTCAGGGATGATAACCATGGTGGGAACACCGTTGTTTGCAGAGGAGGTGATATTTGAGCTGAAGTTTGAGAGCTGGGAGGTGCTACTGAGGTGAACTTGGTGAGAGGGAGCTTTTAGCAAAGGGAGGAAAGCAAGCATGGAAGAAGATGGTCCAGTGAGACCCAGAGAACTGAAAATAATTTGAAGTGGCTAGAGGGTAGTGTGCCAGGAAGGAGTGGTAAAAACAAAGCTGGACAAGCTGACAGGAGCCAGATCCTGGGGGCCTTAGTGGTTTGGACGTGTTTTAGAGGGATCTCTTCACCGTAGTGCAGAGTACAAATTGGAGTGGGAAGGAGTGGCAGCAGCAAGGTCTGTTAAGAGTTTTCCAGTGACCCCGGTGGAAAATGAAGCACAGCGTGGGATTGCAGAGGAGGGAAGGATTCACAGACTTGGCGGGGGGGGGGGGGGGTGGTGGTGGTGGCAAATGACAGAGAGGGAAGCACCAGGATGAAACCCATACTGGACAGTGCACGGGCAGTGCCGCCATTCCCTTGACATGGGGTGTATTGCAGGAGGCGCAGGTTCTGGGGGAAGATGGCGTGTCTTGGGCATGTGGAGCTGACAGTGCTGGGGGGACATCGGTGGAGAGAGAAAAGCTAGTGGAGCAAGGATGGGACCTAGACCTCCCTGGCTCCGGAATTATGTTTTCCTCTTCAAATTAGGTGAGTGAGTGTTATCATTGAAACCAAGAGGAGAAAAAGTCACAGAAGTGTCAAACAGTAGCAAGTGCTGCAGATTTCAAGAAATATCAAGAAGGAACTCCTTTGAATTCAGCCATTCGGTCATTAATGACCTTGACAGAAGTCCCTTACACCAGTGGCCCCAGCCAGTGGTCCGTGGGCCACTGGTGTTCTATGAGGCCTGGAAGGTTGGTGGGCGCTGCTTTAAACCACAGGCATCCCCAGGAGCTGGAGGTGATGACGTGGCAGTAGTAAGTCAGCAAAGGTGGACTCTGTGAGCTTGGCAGGGAAGACAAGGAACAAGCCGTGGCTGTGGCAGCAGTGAGAGGATTCTAGAGAAGTCTTTCTAAAGTGAGAAGAGCTTGAGCATGTTTCTGTGGCACTGCAAGGAGATGCTGGAGATAACTGATACAGAGGGGCAAGCCCCTGGGAGAAGGGTGGCCTAGAGAGCACTTGGTGTACTTGTCTGTGTAGGAAGACACTCTAATTCTGCAGAGAGAAAGAGGTAAACAGGGGTGCAGTTGCTGGTAAGTTTATGGGGGGGAAAGGATGGCAGAAGCAGCTGGGTGCACTTGCCTGATAGCTTCTGTTTTGTGTGTGACCTAGCAGACGGCCGAGGAAGAGGATTAGATAGGGGGACTGAGAAGTGTTGAAAGTCTGAAGCAGTGTTGCAGATGTTGGAAGAGAGAGTTGCTTAGGAATCCATGGAAGGATTTGGGAACTGTCAGCATGGGGCGGCACTGGCGTGCTGAACGAGTTATTTTCCTCACCAGGGCCTGGCCACAGCAGCTGGAATTCACATGTCTGAGTTTATCTAGGAATGGACTTTTACTGTAGAGCAGGACAAGGGGCATAACTCAATATTAGAGGTCAGACCGTTGAGTTGTAGGGAGAGAAGAGAGACCAGGATGTGGCTGGAGATTGGGAGAAAGGGAGGGGTTGCAGAATCAGAAGTCGCAATGAGCTTGAACAGCCAGTATAGTGACAGTGAGTGAGAGTGAGAGGGAAATACAGCCAGAAAGCAGGCTATGGAATTTAAGTTTTCAGAAGAGGAGCAATGGCAGGCAGTGGGAAGGCGTGGTATGTCGGATGGACACTGAAGTCCCCTAGATGGTCCTAGCTTTGGGATGGTGAAGAAGATGGGGACCCACCCAGGTTCTAGCGACTGATGGCTACCATGAGGTTGGGAGTTTATAGTATTTGGGGAGGAGCAGGGGAGTCATCTAAGTGGATGGCTTCTAATAAAAAGAGTACAAGTTTTGTATGGAGGTGAACGAATTGGTTGAAAGTGGCAATTGGAAGGAGAGGGAGGACACACCTGTTGCTGGCCCTGTTTGCTTATAAAGTTGGTGTCAAGCTTCCCTCAAGAGGGTGGAGGAGAAGCTGTGCCCTGCGGTCATCCCGCCCTTGGGTAAGGCCAGGAGGAGGAGGGAGTGTCTGGTGGAAAGATTCTGGATGCTGATGAGCTTGGTTGTCAGGTGTGCCAGCACCAGAGGAGGGAGAAGGGAGCAGTGGGAGGACAGGTCCAGGGCTGGTGACAAAAAGGCTGGAAGGACTTGAATGGTGGACAGTGACCAAGGAGGAAAGAGAGGTGAGGTCTGGTGGCATAAGTTGGTCTCAGGTTCCCAGATATCTCAGTGGCAGTTTAGGCTGCAGCTTCAGATGGCGTCTGAGTATTGGTGAAACATTTTGGTGACTGTGAAGCAAACCAGTTGGAGAGAGCAGGGAAGAAGAAGAGAAAAACCAATGCCACGTGGAAGGTAGGAATGGGAATGGAGAGCCATGTGAGAAAGAGGAGGCTTAACACTTAGGAAAGTCAGTTCCCGGGTATGAGACAGGAAAACTGAGTGACATTGTCAACAGTCTTCTTTTCATGTATGCATTTCTCTAACAACCTTCTTAAATTATTCTGCATTTTGAGTTTTATACTTGTATGAATTTCTTGATGTACACCTATCTCAAAGGTACACTTACCTATTGTTGTCCCATGTACCTTACGTGGAAACTTCCCTCATGCTGCTGCTGTGTAGAAAATTTGAGGCAAGTGGCAGTGGGAGCTGTGAGCCCACGTCGCCTGTATTGTGGCTTATCTGGTCACCTCGCTTCTGTGGGTCCCCGCTTTTTAGTTTGGCTTAAGCTGCCAGCAGAAATACATAGTCAAGACACACTCTAGCCCTTGGTTAGTTTACCATGTTCTTTAACTGCTACCTCATTAGAGCAGACCCCTCAGAGATCTTAGAACCGTGCAGAGAAAGCAATTCCAGAGAGTACATTTGTCCTCCCCTCCTTCGTTTGCAGCGTTCCGGCCCTCCAGCCCGTCCCCTCTTCAGCCCCAGGGCCCAGCGAAGTCCAACAACGTTGTGACGATCACCGGGATCTCCCTGTGCTTGTCCATCATCGCGGCCACCGTCCTCATCACGCTGTGGAGGAAGTTCGGCCGCCCCCACAAGTGCGGCACCCCCGCCCGGCACAACTCCATCCACTCCCCCAGCTTCCGGAAGAACTCGGACGAGGAGAACATCTGCGAGCTGAGCGAGCAGCGCGGGAGCTTCTCGGATGCGGGTGACGGGCCCCCGGGCAGCCGCGGGGACCTGGGCATCCCCCTGACCTACCGGCAGAGCGTGCCGGTGACCCCCGAGGACGAGGCCTCCGGCAGCGAGAGCTTCCAGTCCGGCGCCCAGAAGATCATCCCCCCGCTGTTCAGCTACCGGCTGGCCCAGCAGCAGCTGAAGGAGATGAAGAAGCGAGGCCTGACCGAGACCACCAAGGTGTACCACGTGTCCCAGAGCCCGCTCACCGACACCGCCGTCGACGCCGCCCCGCGGCCCGCAGACCCGCCCCTGGACCCAGAGGGCCCGGAAGAGGCTGCAGCAACCAAGTTCCGCATCAAATCCCCGTTCCTGGAGCAGCCGGCGGCCGCGGCCGGGGCCGGGGCCAGGCCTCCCTCCCGGCTGGATGTGCCGGCCTCGCAGGCCAGCTGTGCCATGAGCCCCAGCCAGACCCTCATCCGCAAGTCGCAGATGAGGCGCGGGGGCAGCCGCGGGGCGCTGTCGGAGAGAAGCCACCCCAGGAGTCTTCATTTCAGGAGGACCGCCAGCTTCCACGAAACCAAGCAGGCCCGGCCGTTCAGGGAGAGGAGCATGTCCACGCTGACCCCGCGGCAGGCCCCGGCCTACAGTGCGCGGGCGCGGCCCTGGGACCAGGCAGAGGACAGGTGTCGACCTCCGAGTCGAGGAGCCGTCGTATTTCCTGAGAAACGGGACCATTTCCAGGGAGCAGGTGGGACCAGCACTCCACTAGGCTCTCTCCCTAAACCCTGCGCCCTCGGGCAGCCCCTGAGGAAGCCAGACCTCGGGTTCCGCCAGGCAGCATTGGTGGCGGGAGGTGAGAGAGCAGAGCCGCCCAGAGCTCGGAGGGGACCGTCCCCCAGTCAAAGGAGTGTCTCGAGGAAGCAGCCTTCACCCACTGCCCCCAAAGATAGCTACCACAGGGTGAGCCCTCTGAGCCCGCCTCCGTGTAGAAAAGACCGGTGTCAGAGCTTCCCGGCTCACCCCGAGTTCGCCTTTTATGACAACACGTCCTTCGGCCTCACCGAGGCTGAGCAGAGGATGCTAGACCTCCCTGGATATTTTGGGTCGAACGAAGAGGATGAGACCACAAGTACACTTAGTGTGGAGAAGCTGGTCATCTAGTCCAAGATCAGCCCGAGGCTTCACACGCCTGGTGTCCTTTGCCCAGCTCGTGTTGTCAGCTGCTCATCTTGTCCTGTGGATTGCTTAGTGTCACTGTACAGTAGGTCGGAATGTAGGAAGTAACCTGTATGTGTGTTGTTCATGCATTCTAATTCATAAGAAAGAGGTTATTTATCCTGAGTTTTCCCCTTTGTTATCCTATTTCTATTGGTTTATTACTAATAACTGCAATAATAAAATTTAAACAAGAGTGAAATGGGGCTTGGACTCTCATGTGGATATGAAATATGACAGAAGGTGATTTGTGAGTGGGAAATGCTGTGAACACTTCTTCGACAGTTTCCAACTTGAAACATATTTGGGAGTCTCAGCTGTAAAAAGGGCTTGAACAAAGCGAACTTGCTAATCCAACTCTGACTTCTAATTTATTGTTAGAAATACGTAAGAATGTGACATCTACAGGGGCATTATTGAACATGTTTGGCTAATTAAGTCAGTTCTGACTATTATGTAGTAGGCTGTCTAGTCATGGTAATACTGCGAGATAGTCCAGAAGTTTCAGGCCAGAGTTGGGTAATATCTTACATGTTTTTGGGTTTTTTTATTCAACCAAATAAATTTGATGACTTGAAACAAAATTATGAGTTAATTATGCTTTGGAGGAATAATATAAAAAGCCGATTGTTCAGGTACTGATTCAAGTGAAGACCTACCCATACATCCATCATTGTTTTGAGCAAAAAGTAAACATTTTGGAAAGGGAGGTATTGTGTCCTGAGAGCATCAGCTGGAGCATGAGCAGTGGGTGCTGTCCACCGCCCAGCCTGCACCAGCATGGCGCCAGGACCCCAGGGGCTGTCTGAAACTGGGTGTGTGTGTTTCTGAGATAACACTATCATATTAATCAGAAAGTATGTGAATTAATATCGGGTATATGGAAAGCAGGTGGACTAGATTATGCTCTTATGGCTTAGTCTTTTTTAATTGGAAGACAGAGTAAAGAGGGAAAGTGGAAGTCTTTTAGAAATTTAGAATCATTTTTATTTTCTGATTAAAACTGCCTGTCACATTTTACAGATGAAGAATTTGAGGCTCAAGGAGGGAAATTCACTTCTGCAGAGTTGGATGAATATGGATTCATTTTTATTCTAATCACCAAATCACCAAACTCTCTGCTCTGCCGTCACAGTCTTTACAAATCTTCTCTAATAGTGGCAAGTTCAGGAGGAAGCTGGCCCTTCGGCAGTAGACACAGAGAGATGCCTTCACTAGTTTTTCCCAAAGAAAGGAAGCTTTCTGCAGCTCGATGTTAGAACTGGTTTTGCGTCTTGTTTGGAGGTGAGGGCTACACAAAACCTAGAGTTGGGCTCCTTCACGGGAAGTCTGCCACGTGGGCCCTCTGTGTCTTCAGCAGAGCGATCTCAGCCCTGGAACCTAAAGCCTTGTCTGCGTACACTTGAGTAGCAGCACTTTCTTTATTGTTCCCCATGACCTCCCCAGCTGCCGCACCCACCCTGCCATTCAGCCTGTTTTCCTTCTTCCTCTTCATGTTTATCAGGATGTCAGCCTGCTGGCAAGATTTTGAGGACCATTGGAGAGCACTGAATTGATGGGAAAAAAAAAAAAAAAAAAATCACAAATGCAAATACTATATTTTTCAAAGTTTCTCTTCTGTTTGTTTCATTAGTGCTTCACTTGTGCCATTATTATTGAAAATTAAAACATACTTCCTCTTGGCAATGCTTTAATAATAACTATCTACCTTTCAGGAACAGGAGGAGTAGATTATTCAGTGGTGTCTGACAGCTGGTATGTGCTGATACAGAAAAGAGGAAACCAAACTTTTTAATTTCCATTTTCTTTGTTTATCATACTAGAACGCTTTGTTCTCTTTCCAAGTTCACAAGTTTGTTGCCATCCTGTGAGAATGGCAACTCACTTATTTCAAACCTCACAGTGAATTTCTTTACAGTATCAGACCAAAATAGCCACAAGAATGTGAAGAGTCAAGAAAAACACTATGAACAGAAGGGTTTTCTGTTAAATTATGTTCTTCCCCAATATTTATCTAAGCTAATATCACAGACACCTAATACCAGCATATACCACATTCACCATCTATCTAGTCCGGTGTTCTGTGCCTCTTACTAAGAGTCAGTCTCTACATTTCATAGTTAATTTGGCCTCATCTCTGAGAAACAGGAAAGAAGATGCTTCAGTGTTGTCTTTGGTGGATAAGTGCTAAACTTCATTAGGAGTAATCTTACATTCTGCACTACGTACCCTAAGTCCTAACCCCAGTGGCTGCCATTAGGTAGGAGCTCAGTGAAGATCTGTGGGACAAAAACAAAAGCCCTCAAACTAAATTTGTGGTTGAACTAGAACAATTCTAACACTTCAAATGTTAAACCATTGTGAATAGGATGTGTTCCTATGTGATATTGTGGAATTTTAGTTTTAGAAGCCCCTCAAAATGAAGCCTCACCTTTTGGGGATATTACCCTCATTGAAGGAGAAAGTATCTGGAGCCTATTAGAGGGTCTGTACACAGTAGTCACTTAATAAGATTTGAATGTATATGAGAAAGTGGCATCCAAGTGAATGGTGCCCCTACCTTCCTAGTGAGTCTCTTCCATTCACTCCACTGCTCTGAAGTCTGCACCACCTCTTTGAGGCAATCGCTCCCCAATTGTGACTTCTAACGTGGATTTGGTAGTGCCTAAAAGGTTCTTCCTCCTCCCAACTGGTGGGCGGAGTTATGACATTACTGGCATCTGTCACAGAGACATCCCCAAGACATTGAGCCACCAATCAGTGCGTGCCAAAGTATCCTGGAGCCCACCCCTTCCTGTTCCGCCCTGGGTCCAACTCTCTCCAGTTCCTCTCCTTAAAAAGACCCCTAGACCAGCCACGTGCTGCTTGTCCTCCATGTCAAGGCGGCAGCCGGCTCGGTCCCCTGTCCCCTCCCCATTCTTTCAATTCTGATTACCTCCGTAATGAGTCCTGCTCATTACTGGGGAATAAACTTTAAATGTCTTGGTGGTCAGTTTCCTGCACCTCAAACCTTACAGTGCCCAGAGCACTCAGTATGCCAAGCCCTTGCCACCAATACCTGAATGCTAATCCAGCCCTTCCTATCAATTTTCTCTCCTCAAACTCTAGTACACTTCATCCTGACCCACAAATATAAAACTGCTGCTAATTTGATGATTTCTCATTTTGTTCTAGATATGTAACTTGTAAAGCAACATTGCACAGTTTTTAAAAATATATATATTTTATTGATTTTGTACAGAGAGGAAGGGAGAGAGATAGAGAGTTAGAAATATCCATGAGAGAGTCATCGATTGGCTGCCTCTTGCACACCCCCTACTGGGGATATGCCCGCAACCAAGGTACATGCCCTTGACCGGAATCGAACCTGGGACCTTTCAATCCCCAAGACGACGCTCTATTCATTGAGCCAAACCGGTTTTGGCCATTGCACAGTTTTTATTCTGTGCAGTCTCTGAGTCATTTTCATATAGTATTAGGGAAACTTATAGTATTATAATACTATAAATTTATACCAGCTGATCAGGTCATACCAGCTGAGTATGGACAAAAATAAGTAGTTTGGCACAGTCAAAAGCATACAAGTTGAATCCTGGTCCTTCTCTTTCTAGTGTGTGATCTTGGGCACTTAATCACATGAGCCTTCATTTTTCAGATGTAAAACGGGATAATGGCTGCTCCAGTTACTAGTTTAGGGTGGGGACTTGAGCATACATAATTATTTCCTCCCTTCCCTAGGACTCAGTTAAAATTTTAGATAAGGTAAAAGGTCAAAAAGTTTAGAAGACAAAAGGATAGTGATTTCAATAAAAATTTTTTTTTTTATTTCAGAGAGGAAAGGAGAGGGAGAGAGAGAGAAACAATAATGAGCCCTAGCTAGTTTGGCTCAGTGGATAGAACACTGACCTACAAACTGAAAGGTCCCATGTTCAATTCTGGTCAAGGGCATATGCCCAAGTTGCCAGTTCAATCCCCAGTGGGGGAGAGGGGTGTGCAGGAGGCAGCTGATTAATGATTCTCTCTTATTATTGATGTTTCTATCTCCCCCTTTTTGTTCCTCTCTGAAATCAATAAAAATATTTTTTAAAAAATGAAACTTCAATGATGAGAATCATCAATCAGCTGCCTTTTGCACACCCACTTCTGGGTATCGTCCTCTACTATATTAAGACCACAACCCTGGCATGTGCCCCTGACTAGAATTGAATGCAGGACCCTTTGTTCTGCAAGCTGATGCTCTATCCACTGAACCAATGAATTTCTGTAAGACAGAGTGCATGGAAGAACACCAAATGGGAGAAACTATAGGTTTAGAATGAAGAGGACCAAGACAGTGAAGATCTGTATATGAAATGATCACCCTCCATCACTACTCCTCAACTCTGGTGCCAAGAACTCCCTGCAACCAGGTGTTCAACCACAGGCAAAAGCAAAACCAACCAACCAACCAGGAAATAACCAGAGGGGACTTTTCTAAAGACAGTGAAGGATCTTTCTGAGGAAACTTGGGCAGTTGGAGTTGCCATTGTATCCTAGTGCAAAGCCATCTGTATCCTGGCATTTGAGAGCCCTTAGAACAATGCTCAGTTCTCTGACTATTCACCCAAATGGAAGCCTGCCAATCAGCCAGTTCCAATCATGGGTTTAGAGTTCTAGTCAGCCTTTCTCATGTCTCATTTTTAAGAATAGCCTGACAACTGAGAATCTCCAAATATTTGAGAAAGCCTACAGTATGATGAAGAAAGATAAGTAGAGAAAAACTGGCCCCAGAGGCAACAATATAATCTAGGAAGTTCAAGAAAAATCATATAAAAACTCTGAAAAACTAATTATAAAGAATATAAAACGATGTTACATTTATTAAATAAGAACATGATGCTATAAAAAGGGAATCAGAAAATGGGTAGGAACTCTAAGTTAATGAAATATTTAATAGGAGATTGTAA